CCCCAGTAGTTTATGAGCAGTAGTCCGGACAAGTTTTGTGACGGACGGACGGACGTTCTCAGCAGGACAGTAATTATGTGGCTTACTTCTTTTGTTCTCTCTATTGTTCTTTTTAGCCACACAAAAGAAAATAGCCACATAAAAGCATTACAGAATGAATGACATCAAAGAGAAAGAACAGTTACCTATTGTCCCTCTAGCCACATAATTACTCTCCTGTGAGTGCGGACAGACAGACAGACGACGGAGAAGTGATCCCTATATGTCGCCACTACTCCGTAGAGGCGACACAAAAATCAAACTTGACGTTCTAGGTTAACCTCGGACAGACGGACGGACGGTTCAATTACTATATGCCCGGGGGCATAAAAATATTGAGATTATCATCAAATACCAAAACAAGTATAAAGACTGGATATTGATGTAATTAATGACATTAATATTATGTCTACTTTTTAAATATTTCAGAACAAGATAACAGTGCCAAGTTTGAAAGAGCCTGTTCCTGAATGTATCATTAGAAAAACTGCAGATGATTATATTTAGTTACAACCAGACAACATTTCAACACATTATGTATTCTAAATAGTAATCTTTAAGTATTCAGAACTGTATAGTTACTGTATGTAGTTATCATTAAACCATTTATTTGGCACCTGGGCCAAGCGTTTTTATTCCATAGTTTTAGTTTACATAGAAATTGTCTGTTAGTGAAGTAAAATATATAAACTTACCTGCAACAACATGGTCGGCAAAAAGTTTCTGCAAAACTGACATTCTTCTTGCCTGTATTTACATTCATTTTCTACATGTTGCTGTACAATGTTACTAGACAGTAATGCTTTACATCCAAATTTTTTGTTCGGGCATTCTACAGGCTTATACTTGCATTTGCCCATGTGACCCTTATTAAAAAAGAAGAAGCAAATTTCATTATTTTTTAAAAGAAAATTAAAAAACATTATCCATTAATAGTTTGAAATGATGTAAACTAGAAATGTGTCCACAGGACACAGATGCTCTCGCATTCCACTGTTTTGTCAGTCTACTAACTTACAGCAGGACAGTATGACAGACAAAGGAAATTCTACATGACTCCCCCTACTCCTAAGTGGTTAAGACATAAAAACTACTTCCAGCTTTTTTCTATGTTGACATCTTAATTTTGCCCAATATTGAGCTATAAGAATTAAAATAAAATGGCAAGCAAGGCCAAATCTAATATCCCTCCCACTCCTGAGTCTATTTTATTACTCTATTTGAATTGTTTGAATAGATACAATAGATATAAGTAAATAATAATTATCAGAACTGTCTGAAAGATGTTTTTCTTTCTGCTCAAATTATAGCTTCATAGTTACAAGCTGTCATTTTCTTTATTGAAATTAATTGACAACACCTTGTGAATGGTACATGTACTCTAGTATCGTATCAAGTAAACAACATACTTGAAGGTCTTTCCATCTAACAACTTCATCACAACCATGCTCTTTGTATTCGCAATAAACATTCAAATTCCTTATTTCCCTTCGTCCACTGGGATCTGGTGTTATCTGTGTCAGAAAGAAAAAAATGATACTAATTGTTTATATATATATAATTATATATATATATACATTCATGATTTTCCTGTAGTACATGTATTCCAATAATGCAATATTCTTTACTATCAAAGTTCTGATAATCTTCAACCTCTGCCCTCAGATTTATTTAACAAATTAACAGATTCCATGTGTGACAAATGGATAGATAGAATTTTAATTCTGAAATATGTATCTGGGATCTGATGATGTTAATCATTCATTTTAATTTGACTGGCATTTCAATTTCTATATCCTTATTGAGCAAAGTTCTCTTATTGCCAATTGGTTGACTGAATTCTAAACAAGACCCAGAAGAAAACATTGTTATATTGTGTTGGGTTATGATCTTGCAAGAAAAACACACTTGGCATTTGTGAATAGAATATCATCATACTACCTGAATGTATCTCAATTCTTTCCATATAATGTCTACTTTTAAATCATTTTGCTTAATGGAAGGTGACATTACTCAGAGACACCCAAGACTACACTGAAACATGAATTACAAGTAAAAAAAAACACTGTATTTACAATTATTTTAATTGATTATTTGATTAACCTAAACATTTCCATCTTATATCAGATCAGAAAGTAACTTAAGATTGTTCTATAATACCGGTGTACATTGAATTATCTCCCTTCTTGAAGAATTAATTGTTGTCCTTACAAATATGCTTACTCATTAGTTTTAAATTAGTTGTTGCTTTTTTTCATGATGTTATTGCAAAACATATGGCTTGTAATCTACATATATGTCTAAAATAAAAGATTATTATGAACGGATTTTGTTCTATATCAATTCATAATGTAAAATGGCAATCGATAATTTTATGTTAATGCATACAATCAAACATATTACTGTGAATTCACTTAAATTCGTGGGCATGAAATTTCGTGGTTTTATCAAAAAGGGCATTTTCGTGGGTTCTTAAATTCGTGGATTTTCGTTTTCTTGTTAAAAAAAATTCAGTTACCTAGCAAATGCAAAATAATCTTAAACTTAATCGCCGAACATTTTTACTTACAACATGTACATATCTTTACTTGTCACACAGCGCTTGTCAATAAATTTAATCCTTGCCTCTGGGCATAACTAATATAGCACAGTTATTGCCGATAATTGACTGCAATTAACACATTTATGTGACATGATATACACACTGCCCCTGTAATTCGCCGATGTAAACATCGCATAATTTATACTACACCCGACAGGTTTTAACCAGCGAGTAAGTTTACACCCTTAATTGGTCTTAACATATTTGACAGTACTTAACTACACGCAACGTCACAGCGACTGTGTAAATTTACATGCATAAAAATTAATCTCGGTAAATAACACGAGTATGTGTGGATCTTGTATTTTTTTTTATATCTTGTAAAAATCGGTGGCGTCTTTGATGTTGACGGAATAGCATTCGCACAAATACAGATTAAAATTCATATAAACTTGATCATTTAAAACGACAAAAGAATGTACAATAAGTCTGTTTTAGCGATCGCATTTTTTTTTATAGTTTTGTGTACTTACGACAATAATATCAAAGACTTTTTTTAATAAATAAGAGCAAACTGACAATTTTTATTAGCGCTAATTATTGCACTGCCTGGGTTCCCATATTTATTCGATTATGTCAAGTATTCTTGTTGACACAATCAAGTCCTAGTAGACTACAACGATCAAGTACGTATATGCGACATTTGTGACAGTAAATTGAGGACATATAATCGAGTTTTCTTTCAAGTGTCTTAAATATTGTAAACGGATTTAATATGTCACTAACCTGATTATCTGTCTGTATATACATCCATTTCACGAAATATCGGCCAGAACAGAGCCAACGCATGTTTGTAATACATAAAACAAAGACTTGGTAAGAAGTATTTGTTGGGATAAAAGTTCGTGGGATCTTAAATTCGTGGATTGACCTACCCACGAAAACAACGAAAATTCGTGCCCCACGAATAATAATGATTTTACAGTATTAAAATATTATGTGTTTGTTTTCATTCACTCAGTTATGGATTGAAAAATTGCCAAAAAATTGTAAACACAAGTTATATAGCTTGACAAAGTTATGGCATTTGTAATTGTGAAAAATATAAGTTGCCAAGTCATTGCTCTGACTTGTGAAATTGAAAAATATTCAACTTCATGCAAGTTATCTTCCTCCCAAATATGAAATACATCTGTCATTAAATAAAGGCTGTATGGGCAAAAGTGTAAAAATCTATTTTGAGCACTGGTGACCTTGACCAAACTGACCCCTAACTCTATCCAAAAGAAGAATACCATGTAAGTTATCTTCCTACCAAATATGAAATACATCTGTCAATAAATAAAGGCTGTATGGGCAAAAGTGTAAAAATCTATTTTTAGCACTGGTGACCTTGACCCAACTGACCCCTAAACCCAACTAAAAAATAAAGGCTGTATGAGCAAAAATGTTTTGACCTTGACCCTAGAGACCGCTTACTCCACAAAAAATTAGAGGACCATCAAAGGTATCCACCTACTAAATATGAAAGATATCATTAAAGAAATTAAGCAATTAGGAGAAATTTTAGATAAATTATACAACTTGCCGAAATAGGTTAACCAGACAAGGCCCTATTTTCAAAGTGAAAAAAGGGAAATAACTGGGAAATATGGATGACACAGTTATATAACTTGGCATGTACTTTGTATTGATAAGTAAGTGTGGAAATTATAAAGCCATTAGTATAGATAGAACTTAAGATATTTCCAACTTGCCGTTTTAGGTTAACCATTATTCATTTTCTAAGTGCTGAAAAGGGCAATAACTTGGTAAATATGAAAGCCAGAGTTATGTAACTTGCCCAGATCATGTACTTTGTATTGATTAGTAAGTGTGTAAACTTAGAAGCCATTGGTACAGGTAGAACTTAAGAAAAATCCAACTTGCCGTTCTAGGTTAACCTCGTACGGACATTTTGGCTTTAGGGGCTATTTTCTTTGTTTTCTTAAGGGCTACTAGCCCCTAAACCCTTTGATCACGGAATGAACCTATTGTTCTCTTTTGTTCTCTTTACTGTTATATAGCCCCTAAATCCAAAATGTTTGCTCGGACAGACGGACGGACGGTTCAATTACTATATGCCCAGGGGCATAATAAAAAAATAGGGTAGGTAGGTAGGTAAATCTTTTTTAAAATATTTCCCCCCCCCCCGACCAATGTAATTATATATGCCATCAAAACATTAGAGACAAACATGCATGTACCATCATAATCATAATAATGTGATATGTACACAAAGGTGTGTTATCAATTTAAGTATATTGCTCACATTTGAATAATGTTGCTTTTTTATATAGAGGATATTGAATGAGTGTAAGTTCAATACTGAATTTATTGCACTAGTTGAATAACATTATATTATGCAAGTCTCTGGCGAGCATAATATTATTTTATTCAATGAGTGCAATAAATTCTGTAATGAACTTACACGAATTTAATATTCTATTTATCACATACCCAAAATAAAGACCGTTTAAAGTGAAATAAGAGTCATTTTTCATTGAGGCGCCTATAGTATGATGCTAACATTTAGCGCGTCTTTACACTATGTTTGTATAACGCTAATGACGTCACGTCAAAATATATGCACGGCCGTGCAATACCATATTTGCGGAGTCGCAAAATGGCACGGGTGTGTGATAAGTGTTTACTAAATGAGAGGAGCCATTTTAAAACAAGAGGGCCATGATGGCCCTAGATCGCTCACCTGAATTATCAAACTCATCCAAACAATTACCTAGACAAGCATTCTGACCAAGTCTCATGACAGGTGAGTCAAAAATGTGACCACTACAGTGTTAACAAGGATTATCCATATTTGAGCAGTGCGACCTAGTTTTTTACCCAGGTGACACATATTCAAACTTGACCTAGAAATCATCTAAACAAACTTTCAGACCAATTTCCAGGATACTTGGATCAAAACAGTAGCAACTAGAGTGTTAACAAGATTTTTCTATTTTTAGCTCTGGTGACCTAGTTTCACATGCGATTTCGAACTCATCCAAGCAATTACCTAGACAAGCATTCTGACCAAGTTTGATGATAATGGAGTCGAAAATGTGACCACTAGAATGTTAACAAGGTTTTTCCATATTTGGGCGGTGTGACCTAGTTTTTCATCCAGATGACCCATGTTCGATCTTGACTTAGAAATCATCAAAAACAAACTTTCAGACCAATTAACAGAATATTTTGGATCACAACAGTAGCCACTAGAGTGTTAACAAGATTTTTCTATTTTTAGCTCCTGTGACCTAGTTTTTCATCCGAGATGTCCCATGTTCGATTTATTCCCAGCAATGACCTAGACAAGTTTCCTGACCAAGTTTGATGACAATTGAGTCAAAATTGTGACCACTAGAGTGTTAACAAGGTTTTTCTATTTTTTAGCTCCTGTGACCTAGTTTTTCATCCGAGATGACCCATGTTCGAACTCATCCGAGATATTACCTAGACAAGCATCCTAACCAAGTTGAATGATAAATAAGTCAAAAAAGTGAGCACAAGAGTGTTAACAAGGTTTTTCTTTTTTTAGCTCCGGTGACCTACTTTTTCATCCGAGATGACCCATGTTCGAACTCATCCAAGCTATCAACTAGATAAGCATCCTGACCAAGTTTGATGATGATTGATGCAAAAATGTGACCGCTAGAGTGTTAACAAGGTTTTTTCTATTTATAGCTCCGGTGACCTAGTTTTTCATCCGAGATGACCCATATTCGAACTCATCCCGAGCTATTATCTAAACAAGCATCCTGACAAAGTTTGATGATGATTGGGTCAAAAATGTGACCACTAGAGTGGTCACAAGGTTTTTCTATTTTTAGCTCCTGTGACCTAGTTTTTCATCAGAGATGACCCATGTTCAAAACTCATCCAAGCAATTGACTAGACAAGCATTCTGACCAAGTTTGATGATGATTGGTT